ATCACTTGAGCCCATGAAGTTGAGGCTGCAGTGAGCTGGGATCTTGCACTGCATTCCAGCCTGGACAACAGAATGAGACCCTGTCTGAAAAAAAAGACTGCGTGAAAGAGCTTCATGCTGTTGTCACTAACAAAGAGGGTCAGAATTACCCCAGACACACAGGACCAGGAACCATTGACCTTCTCCTCAACTTCCTGTAGAATGGTCTTGACCTTTTCGGCCCCACCTGTAGGGCACCTTGCTGTCTTAGTCCAGCGCTTCCCATCTCTCAGCAGGAAACTAAGGCATTTAGCAGATCAGAAACAAAGGGAAACCCCGCCTGCTAGAAGTGCTTCATTTGTATTGGTGCCATGTTTAGTCAGTGGCTTTTGTAAAATTGATGAATTTTGTCTAAAGGCAAGTGCAGACAGGCAAACAGATCTGTATCTGCTGTTATCCATTTAGCTTGACACACATGTGCAGAGGAACTATTTTACCTCAATTCTTTCAGGATTGATGAAAAGTAAATGCGGGCAAAGTCATGAACTGCATCATTGGAAAAGAATCACTGAATCTAATACGGGAGGTTAATTAATGCTTCCCTCCCCTTGAAATAGACTGTCCCTGCTACTTAGACATTCAGAGTCAATAAACAATTGTTGTACACAGATCATCCATTAGAAGGTGATGGCAAGAATTTTTTTTAAGCAAATCTAAAATTGCAATGGGTGACCTACTCCCACTGGAGAAATGGGAGTCCTGAAACGTCGTTTTTCATAATATCTCATTTATAAAAAGTTTCATGCTATCTGTTTAGCAAAAAGTGAAAGCTCTGAAGAGCAAAGGGGATAATATACGGGATAGTGACACAATATTCTTCTTGAACAACCCAAAGCTATTTGTAGTCCCTTTGAATATTTTGATCAGGATACCACTGATCATATTTTTCATCATAATGTACATGCGTGGAGGATTTTTTTTTTTTAGACAGAGTTTCACTCTTATTGCCCAAGCTGGAGTGCAATGGCATGATCTCGGCTCACCACAACCTCCACCTCCTGGATTCAAACCATTCTCCTGCCTCAGCCTCCTGAGTAGCTGGGATTATAGGCACCCACCACCACGCCTGGCTTATTTTGTATTTTTAGTAGAGACGAGGTTTCACCATGTTGGTCAGGCTGGTCTCGAACTCCTGACCTCATGATCTACCCGCCTTGGTCTCCCAAAGTGCTGGGATTACAGGTGCTTGCCACCGTGTCCAGTCGATTTTTAAGTACCCTTAACATACATGATCACAGGGGACAGAACAATACAATGAGCTAGGCATTATCATCCTCCCCGTTACGTAAACAAAGACTGGAGCACAGAGCGGGTTAGGGGTTTGCCGCAGTCACGGAGCTACAACTGTTATCACAGCAAACCTCCTTAATAATAATAGCTAGTACTTCATTGAAGCCCTGTATACGTCAGGTACTGCGGGAGGAATTTTAAATGCACATTAACTTATTGAAACTTCACAATAACCTTAGGTGATGGATCACTCCTATTCTATTTTGTTGACAAGAGAACGAAGATTTGAAAAGGTGGTAGGATGCGGATCACACACCGAACCAAGACTTAGAAAACCTGTTCTGCCACTCAGGAACCCAAAGATTTGGAAAATCGGATGAATGACGCAGAATAGAAAGGGCGGAGGGTGCAGAGAGGCCCAGTGTCCAAGGCAGGAGGAGGATTTGGGTCGGAGAGCAGGAAGGACTTGGGTGACAAGGTTCTGAGAGGTGGGAATTAGGACCATCCTGGGAGCATGGGATCAATGGGAGCGGGGCTGCCTGGGAACCAGGGTGGAAAGGCTTTGTGGGGTGTCAGAAGGCATTCGCTTGGTTCTCTTGCTCACCTGAGGCAACCGATAGATTCCTGGAAACTAGATAGTCAGGTCCTTCTAGCCAGGATCTGGGGAGCACTTGTGATTCTCCTTGTTAATAAGAGAGAATGGGCCAGGGGCGGTGGCTCACACCTGTAATCCCAGCACTTTGGGAGGCCGAAGTGAGTGGATCATGAGGTTAGAAGTTTGAGACTAGCCTGGCCAACATGGTGAAACCCTGTCTGTACTAAAAACACAAAAATGAGCCAGGCATGGTGGTGCATGCTTGTAATCTCAGCTGCTCAGGAGGCTGAGGCAGGCGAATCACTTGAACCCAGGAGAAGTAGGTTGCAGTGAGCTGAGATCGTGCCATTGCACTCCAGCCTGGGCAACAGAGCAAGACTGTGTCGAGAGAGAGAGAGAGAGAGAGAGAGAGAGAGAGAGAGAGAGAGAGAGAAGATAATGGAGAAACAGACCTTCAGATACTTTCTTGGTGTTTCCAGGAATCTATAGGGTGTCTCAGGTGAGAGAACCAGGTGAATTCCTTCTGACAACCCCCAAAATCTGCCCCCCAAACACAGCAGTGGCCCGGGGGTGCCCTTGCTGTCTTGCAGGAAGTCATTCTCAGCCGCTCCCCTCCTCCCACCCATCCTCTGCAAGCTGCCCGGCTTTCCCTACAGCCGCAATCATCACAACACGCCTGTGCCGTCTCTCCCCTTTATGGTTGTCAAATTGATTTCACCACGGAGATACCTATGGCTCCCAATGAAACTTAATTAAAAATACCATTTAATCACAGAGTAACAAAGGCAAACGGGATAAACGGCATTACCACTTCGGCGCGTTTTAATCCGCGCCGCTCCTCTCCATCTGAATCTGTCTGGATGAGAATTGCCTTTTCAAACCAGAATCCCCTTGTCTTCCATGCGCTTGCTCCTGACAGATCTCCAAAATAAACAGTATTTAGCGTGGCATGGATCCAAATGTATGCAATCTGCCCAGTGGTAAAGTCAGCCCTAACTAGAGCAAGAAAAAAAAAAAGAAGTTGCATTGGAAAATACCTTCCTTCCCTCAAAGCATACAAAACACCATCTACTGAAAGTGGGGTCCATTAAACGGGGCCTATGGACTCTCAATTCTGGCCTCCCTCGATTCAGTGAGTGATGGATTTCGAAGCTTATTACTAAAATTGTGTCACCAGTAATGCCATGATCCTGCTCTTTTATGTCTAGAAAGTTCTGTGGGGCTGGAGCCTGCCAGTGAGGATCGGCTGGGGTGCGGTGGGGAGGTGCCGTTTAGAGTGAACTCTGCAGGCGGGCAACCTAGAGGGGCTGCGGCCCATCTTACCCATCTTGAGATCTCACCCAGCCAGGGGGACATTCCCAGTTGGAAAGCCGCTCCTTTGGAAGGAGCCATTTGCTCTCTCTCAGAGACCCTCTGGAATCCAGAAAGCGACGGTCTAAAGCGTGAAAATATCTCACCAAGTTACCGCCACGCCCTCGTTGCTTCAAACCCTTTCATGCTTCCTGGGATGTGTGGAATAAAACCCGAGCGGCTCTGTCTTCACTACGCTGCATCTCCCCTTCCCCTCTCCTGATCTTCTCAACTTTGGGCTCAAGGTCCTTTTGCTTCCTTGGGTACCCCCCTCTCAGGACTCTCCTGCCTGGGCCCACCGCCCCCTTTCCTGGGAAGCTCTTCCTGACCTTTCCCTTCCCCACGCCTGATCGAAGTCCCCTGGGTCAGTCACCATCTCCTCCTGCTGTCCCGCTCCCAGCTGGTTTCCTTCCTGGCACTTCCAACCACCTGCCACAATCTTGTTATTGATTTTCTGGTTACTGTCTATTTCCCCACTATGAGATAAGTTTCTGTTTTGGTCACTACACATCCCAGGGCATCCAGTAGCCTGGGGGGCAGAGATCTGTCTGGGGTCCCCAGACTTGCCCCATTACTGAGGCTGTGGTCAGTTCCAAGCAAGGTTTGCGGGAGGAAGAGAGGGAGGTGGGACAGTCAGTTGTGCCTCAGTGCAAAGGGATCTCTTAGATCACTTTTCTCAAGATAGCTGGGACCACAGGGAGGCCTGGCAGGAAAGCAGGTGGGGGCTGCTGCTGATGGAGGTGGTCCCTTATCCACACATGTGGGGGGAAGGGTGCAATTTCCGGACCTGTGCTTCCAGGAAAATCCTCCAATTCACCGGGCAGAAGCAAGCCTTTCCATGACCCTGCAGGATACGAGTTCACTGTCATTGCCCACACCAGCTGCCTTGTTATTGGGTCTTGCCCACCTCCTTCCACCCACCTGAAACCTCCCTGGAGAGCACATGAAATCCTCAAACACATGCTCAAAGTCACCAATTCTTTTTTCTCTCGCCCTGTGGCCCAGGCTGGAGTGCAGTGGTATGATCTTAGCTCCCTGCAACCTCCGCCTCCCGGCCTCAAGCGATTCCTGTCTCAGCCTCCCGAAAAGCTGAGATTACAGGTGTACACAACCACGCCCAGCTTTTTGTGCTTTTAGTAGAGACGGCGTTTCACCATGTTGTCCAGGCTGGTCTCAAACTCCTGACCTCCAGTGATCTGCCGCCTCAGCCTCCCAAGTGCTAGGATCACCATTTCTTCAGAGCAAATGTAATCTCACCTTTTGGATTCACTTAAGGTAATAATTTCTCCAACCCTGTTGAGCATCCCTGGACTCCACATGGAGGGCTTTGACAACTAATTCCATCTACCCAGGCCAGTGAAGCTGGCTCATCCATGCAAAAGGAAAAAATAGAATCTCTCTTGGTTTCTTATCTCATCCTTTTAATATTTTTATTGTGTATGAATATTTTGTGGTACACATGACATTAGTACAAGCAGTCTACGAATAGAGTTCAATAGTCACACATATATATTGGGGTGAGCACAAAACATTTCGACTAGAGGGGTGCAAGCAAGCAGGTTTGGAGAGTGCTGATATGAAGGGGTGACGCAGGTCAGGTTCACAATAAATGATACAATGGAGAAAAAGAGGGAATACAGCAAACCATTGGGTCATGTCCCACCTCGCGGCAGAAAGACGCTACGTAGCTTGTTGCCATGTGAGAATGGGGGCCTAGGACTGCTGGGTGTTCTGCGTTCTAAAGAAAATGCAGACCTTTTAATTTTATGTGAAAGCTCCCAATTTCTAAATATTGGCCCCTAATGGAATATAACAAAAAACGAACATCATGGGGGCTACAGAAAACACTGGGCTGGATGGCCCAAGGGCGCCCCGTCTGTGACTTTTATGTGCCACGCCCTCCTGGCCTACGTTATTTCATGTGATCTCTGTAATGACCTGTGAGAGTGCTTCACTTCTCTCTTACTGATGAGGAAACCGAGGCTCAAAGACACTAGGGAATGAATCCAAGGTCTAAGAGACTCAAGTCTCAACATGATGAGACCCTGGTTGCTTTGCTTAACGTGACATTTCTGTGGCTATGAACTGCATGGGAATGAGCGCACCCCGTGAGCCAATGCAATTCTGGTGGCAGGAAAGAGTTTATTATCAGTGCACCTTCAATAGGCAAAAGCTCTTCAACTTCTCAACTACTGTGAATAACTACATGGGAAGGCAACGGGCTGGGGAGAGGGGGGGCTAACTATTTTCATGATTTCCGGGGCACAAATGGGCAGGAGCCAGGTCAGAAAGGGAGAGATGTGCTAATGGCATCACAAGATAAAACTGGCGCAGGGGTAAGAACGAAGAGAGGAAAAAAAATCTCACCCACACATAACAGTACTAGTATTTCCTGGGTATTTAACTATGTGCTGGAAATTGTCCTAAGTCTGTTATTAGATCATCTTAATCTTCATCTTGGGAGTGGTGCCTTTCATATATTCCCATTATACAGATGAGGAAACTGAGGCATATTAACATGCCAAAGCACAGGGAGCTAATGGGAGTCTTAAAGCCCAGATTTTAAGCTCCCCTCTCCACTGTCTCTGAGTCTCCAAGGTCATCAGGATGGGGCACTGCGGTTCTTCAACCCTCAGTTCTACCTGTCACTACATAGGAAAGAGGGACTTAGAGAAAAAACTATACTATGCTGGTTAAATCTGTGAAATAATGTAAAAGGAGCTGCATCTCTTTCATTAGTTCAGGGAAACTCCCTAAAGACAGGCTATCAACTTAATTTTAATTGTTAACATCTCATTCCTGTGCACTGAGCGTAGGTCTCAAAGCTCAGACTTTCACTTAGGTTTGTCTTAGGGAGAGGAGAGAGGCCAGTCCTCAATGAGTCATTTCTCTTTCAGTTTCTTTGCCTTTGGGGATAGAGGTTACAGAGGAATGGAAAAGAGAATTCCTGCTCTCAAACTTTTTATAGAAGCGTTGTCCAATCAGACTTTCTACTATGGTGAAAATGTTCCATATCTGTGCCGTCCAGTACAGCAGTCACTAGCCACATGAGGCTATTAAGCCTTTGAAATGCGGCCTGGGCAACTGAAGAGCTGAATTTTTAATTAAAGTGAAAACTGAATTGAAATTGAAGTAGCCACAGCTAGCTAGTGCTACCGTATTGGACAGCACCATGGGAGTGAGAGAGACTAGGATGGAGGTCTCCAACTTCCGTCTTTCCCCAGAGGGCTGGGTTCACTCCAGAGTCTCTGAAAAAGCTTGGGAAAGATGAAAGCAGATTAGGCTTTGTCACCTGCTGGGCTTGTTCCTGTCACCTGCGCTGGACCTCAGGGGCTGAATGGTTCATGTTTTAAAATCTGAGTGATTCTTTTGGGGGAAGGAGGTCTTGTTTAACACCAAGTCAGACTATAACACAGGGTCATTTTAAAACATTTCAAAATGCATGGGCACCATTTCCTAGCTGTTTTGGATTGGGACCCGGATGCTACAATCTAGGGGCCAAGAGAAGTCTCCCCCGCCCTTGCTTAAGCCCATGATAAGGTTGGAGGAGAAAAGCCAAAGACCTCTTTCTCTCCTCTGCCTGAGACTGGTGCTCCTTCTAGGGTCTTCCTTCCAGAAGCTGACCTCTGAGCTCTGAAACGATGTCTGTGAGATCGAATGGCAGATGCATCGAAGCGTCATCCTTTTCCCAGTATGGCCGACATTCTGGCTTCTGATCAGCAGGTAAAGTTCGGGCAATTCGCGACTGGCACCTAGAAGAGTTACAAATAGGAAATTAATCCACAGGAGGAAACCCCCAGAAGACCCCAACCTACAGGAAGCTTGGAGCAACACTGGCCAATGCTCCAAAAACAGTCCTCCGGGGTGAAGGTCATGGTGATGATTGAATGAGGCTACAGGTGGAACGCAGGTGTTTATAAGAAGAAAGAATGTTCCTGATGGTGCTGGGGCTTCCTTTGCTTTGATTCCCAGATGTGTATTATCTCAGGTGGCTTCGTAGGTGCCAATCATCAGGGAAATTCAGTTACTCTGCCTTTAAAATGGCGAATTATTTTGTCATTATCTCAACTGTTATTTAAAGTCTGTGATTAAGCCATTATCAGATTTAAATGTTTGTGGGATTGCAATGTATTACTAGATTACTGGGAAAGATTAAATTGAATTTACTGCATTAAAACGTCCAAGAATAGATTAAACAATATTACAGTCTGGGATTGACTTAGGAGATCCTGGAGATTTACAAGTGCCCCAGCTTGCTGTGCTCAGAAAAAGGCACTCCAAGGAGAGACCGATTTATAAGGATATATGCAAATAGAGGTTAATAATCATTTCCACTGATGAAGAGGTGGGAAAAACTTCCACAAAATTAAATTAAGAGGCTAGCAAGAATTAGTCCCTAAGGAAAACACTTAAATCACGGTTTTTATTAAATGGATTATTCATCAATAGTAGAGAAATTAATTATCATATGCAGCTAAATTATAGCCTCATAGGACAAAAAATTGGGGCAACGTTCTCATGCCTTGGCAGGCATCTATCTCTCAGAGAGACTGGCTCATTTAAAAGTGACCTGGGAAAACTCAGTGGCTCTGGCTTTATTTATCTGCAAAACGAGGGTCAGAGAGAAGGAAACGCATTGCAATAAGGAATGAACAATTTCTCTACTCCCCTGGAGTCCATGGCAGTGAAAATGTGTGTACCAAAACCAGACACTCTGAGGACATTCGGGAGCATGGCGCACATGCCTGTCTCCACCCCCGCCTTCCCTGCACTTTTGTCTAAATCAATTAAAAAGTGGCCATGCTCACTATTTGTCTTCTGACTGTGTAGGACTGACTATGAAGAGATCAAAGGATGGAATATCCCGGCCCCATTTCCAAGCTTGATGGTAGAGAGGGTTCCTAACTGAAAGACATCTTCTTCTCTAGGGAATTATTAATGGTAAGGGGAATCCCCTCGGGAAAACATACTTTCAACTTTACACCTATTTTCGCGTGTGGTTAATTGCTACACCGGCATCCTATGCACTCAATCCGTCGTACATTACATATAACATTCTAATATATCTTCGGCTCTCTGCATCAGGCCCTGATAATAGCGTCTGTTAACATGCAGTAAGTACTATTATGTAGCACATCACTTCATAAATAATAAGATTAGCTGACCCCGGGGCCCCAAGAAGAGTAATGTGTTTAAATGTTCTCATTATTTATTTAAAACAAGAATTAAAGCAACAGAAGCTGCTTTTGACAATCCTCTTAGCATAAATATTAAACTGTTTGCACTGATAAGCTACGCTGCACTGAAGAACAGAGGGTACGTTCTGGGGACTACTTAATCATAGGTGTTTGAGACCATGCCACTTGCTGTCGTGGTTCTGAGGGTGCATCTCTGTAGTTCCAGAGACTGTCTCTAAACCACTTGAAAGGGATGCAGGGCAAATTAATATTCAAGGAAAGCTGCGACTAATTACAAAGGAACTCTGCAAAGCTTTTTAAATTGTGCTTTCTCTCTGCCTCAGAATCCTAGAGTAATGCTCAATTTACTCGGTAGGGAAAGTTATTCCAAATTGAGCATCTCAATCTCACAGTGGATAAATTATCCGTGCACACATTATCTGGGCTGGCAGATTAAAGGGCTATGATAAGTGTCGATCCACCTAGAATATCATAAGGTTTGTAGAAAGTCAATAGAGATGCTTTTTCACCTGTCAAATCGGTTTTGCCTCTGTACTTTCAGAAAGTATTAAACATGCTGAAGCCTGCTGCAGAGGTCTGCTTATGCTGTGTTGCACAAGCTTCCCAAGCCCAATGGCTTTTCTTTTGGGCAAAGCTGTTCCACAGTTTTTTGCTGCTGTTCTTCTCATCAAAGGACCGGCTGGAGCCAGGCGTGGTGGCTCACACCTGTAATCCCTGCACTCTGGGAGGCCAAGGCAGGCAGATCACTTGAGGCCAAGGGTTTGAGACCAGCTGAGCAATCTGGCAAAACCCTGTCTCTACTAAAAAATACAAAAAGTAGCCGGGCGTGGTGGTGTCCACCTGTAATCCCAGCTACTTGGGAGGCTGAGGCACGAGAATCACTTGAACTTGGGAGGCGGAGGTTGCAGAGAGCCAGGATCATGTTACTACACTCCAGCATGGGCAACAGAGAAAGACTCTGTCTCTAAAAAAAAGAAAGAAAAAAGAAAAGATTGGCTGGTGTGGAAAGTGGCTCCTTTGCATCAAGCTCTGACGGGCAAGCTATACATAGTCACTGCATCCATCTGGGCCAGGAGTAGAACCCTTTGTTGGCTTTCTTCGGAGCCCTCATTCAGAAATTTCAAGATTGCTTTAAAATTCTTCCTTTAATGTCCAGTGTTCCTTGCCAATTTCCAAATGATAGTGATAGGCCCCAGCAGAGGGCTCGTTATTGGAGGTGACGCATTTACCCATGAAAAGAGACAGATAGCCCCAACTCAAGTGACACTGTGTGATTTAGTACCATGCCAGACTGCAGAGCATATAAAGAGAAGGCTGAGAATTACTTGAAGGCACATCTGTCCCCCTTTAGAGTTTCATTTCTTTTGCTCCAATCACTCACTCTTCCTTCTTGGATCTTAGTTTCCAAAGATGGGAAGCAGGGAGACTGCAGTACAGTGGTGAAGAGTATGTTCTCTGGACTGCCAAGTTGCTGCTTTCCAGGGGCATGACATCTTGGGCAGATTTCATTACCTCACTCAGCCTCAGTTTCTTGTCTGTCAAGTGGTGATGGTAACCACAGTATCTTACTTACAGAGTTGATGTTAAGCCACATGAATTATACACAGAAAGTGCTTAGAATGTTTCCCAGCACATAACAAGCACCCAATATCTATTAAATAATATTATCACTATTGTTACTTCTACTTCAGGTACCAGTGGCAGATGAGAAACACCAATGACAGAGCTGCCTATTATACGTGGGCGGTCTCCTTCCTTCACATTAACTGAGTGGGTAACCTCTAGATGGACTCCTTCTAGGGGAAGCTCTGGGGATACAGGAGCAGCTCTTTCTGGCTTGAATCAAATGGCACCTAAGGCTAAATTCTATCACATTGTGACATTCCAGGGCCTTAAGGCTCATGTAGTCAAGCCTTCCAATTTTTCGAGTCCCAGGCTAAAATGTTCAGCTTCAGAAGGGATCAGCAGTTGTTCCTGAAGACCTAGGATGGAAAAAAGGCGGGGTTGCCTGGCCTTCTAAATGGTGGTTGTTCCAGTTGATTTTGCATTTAACAGGAAATCAAGTTGGATTGTTTCTTAGCCCACAACACTCTATAATCTCTTTTGCAAAGTAAAGGGGACCCCAGTTGTCTTATAAAATGTGTGAGGAATACTGATTGTGATGGACATTTGCTGTCCCGGATTTACTCCCACTGTTCCCACCAAAAGGATTCTGGTTTTCCTGTGGGGAATCTGCCCCTTCCCCATGCTTCATAACTTGAGGTGGGTGAGACTGGATCCACCTCTACAGCCAGTGGGGAGCCTTGATTGGCTTAAGCTACATCGGCACATCTCACTCTCCTAGCCATAGGGAGTGGCTTAAGGGGAGGCACATGACCCAATTTGGGGCAAAATCAAGAGAATAAATCAGAGAACTGGTATGGGAGCTAAATTAAAAAGACTTTCTCCTCTCTTGTCCTATGAACAATTAGGATGTGTGATCTGGAACTGTCATGAACATTTGCTGCCAGCCAGCAAGAGCAAGGGGCTGAGTCCTGGACAATGCTGTTTGACCATCTGGGTCATGCTTCACTTAGATGTTTCAGTTTCATGAGCCTTTATTGTTTAAGTTTTTCTGTCACTTGCAATCCTAAGAATCCTAGCTGATATGCTGGACATGCTTCCTTTCTCTCAGTTATTTCCTGCCTTTCCCAACACCCATTGCCAAAGCCAAGTGGATGCAGAGAGTCTCTCTCCAAACTGAGATGTTGTGGCTGATACAGGGTAGTCTGTGTAGAGAATACCTGGGTATGAACCCACCATCTGGGACACATTTCTGCCCAGAAAACCAGGGAATGCTGGTCCAACCACACTGGCCCTTGCATGAAAATAAGCCAGTTTTCCGGACTAGAGCTGGATATCCTTGCTGAAGAAAGTTAACAAGATTCCCTCAACTCAGTGTCATTCCTAAGTCCTACTGAACCCAGCTAAACAGCAAAAAAGTTACAGTTTCCCCTTTCAACCCTGTCTTCTCTAATCCTATCCTAAGGAAAGATCTCATTGTTAAAAAATGCTTCTTGGATTAGCAAATAAACTTGTATCTGTTCAGAAAATACTGCCCTTTTCATGAAGCAGTTCAAGGAGAGCTAAGGAAAATTATACACACACAGACACACACACACACACAAATATTGTATACATATGCTTTATATTTATACCATTATTTTATATATATTTTCAATATAATGAATATAAATATTTTCTATATATTTTATACTACATATATTCTATTATACATAATACATATATAATATACAATGTGAATTTATAATATGAATTTAGGAGGAAGAGAGATACAGTATATACATAATATAGAATATACATATGCTTTTTATATAACATATTTATATACAACATATTTATATTAATATATTATATAATATATTTAACTATATAATTATATATAATACAGCATATTATATATAGTATATATATTATATGATATATACAATATATACTATATCATATAATATATACTATTATATATACTATATACTATATATACTATAATATAT